AATTTTCGACATAATTTTTCTACTATTCAATAAAGCGTAATAGGAAATATGTCCTATAATTCTTGTAATTTCAAAAACGGAACTTTACGTTCGGAGAAATTTAAACTCAGTTTCGTAACTTTTTTTTAGGGGTATACTAGGGAGGTTCTACGAAATGAGCGTCGGTGAAGTGATACGTATCCACGGCAAACAGATAATACGTAAAATTTAACGAAAATTTCGGTCAATTAAAATCCAAAGACCTTATTCTTTTCTTTCGCAACAATACAAACCATAGAAAATGTTATTTATTGTCGTAGCAGATGCTGAAATTTGGGCTCTTGATTTAAACATATTAGTCCTGCTAAAACCCACATATACTCTTTAATAATCAATCCTAACCCTAAACACCAACTCAAAATAAAAACGCGGGAAAAACACCCCAAAAAAATTTTCCGAATTTCAGCACAGCAGTTTTCAGTATCAGCTGCGACATTTATTGTCGTTTAAAATATATGCAAGATTTATATTTACATAGTAAATTTCTAACCAATGAATTTTACGATATTTTGAAAAATTATAAGGTATTATTTAAAGGACGACAATCAAAAATTGAATTTTGGTAAAATAATGAAGTATCAAAATTATATTTGTATTTGTTAGACTCACAAACCAATTTTTGATAATTAAGTTTCTTTGCGTTTTTATTATGAATAATATATTTATTATTGTTTGATTTGTTAATTTTTTACGAGCACAATACTCTTTGCAGCTTCATTGGACTCACTTGATTTTATCAAATATTGTTTTCCAATCTTTTTGTTTCCATCAATGAATACATGATTCTCATACAAATATCTTCCATAGAAAAACTGAGCATCTGAATTGCCTAATTGAGCTGCACGTCTTAAATAATTTCTATATTCTATCTTATCACGACTATGGATGTAAACTTAATTAAATTTAATTGCTAAAATAATTTTATTTTTCGAAAATATTATTGTTTTGATAATTATAAAGATTACGGTATATCATAATTAAATTTAGAATTATTAAAGCGAAAATTATATAAATTACATAAAATTACATAATTTAATAAAATTATTATATGATCAGTTTAAACAATGGTATTGATTGCGATAGTGATTAAAATTATGCCGTAATAAATATCTTCAATTTTATGATTGATGAATCGACTTCTACAAATTTATCTTCAAAGATGTCAAACCAGTTAACTCAACCCGATACATGTTCAGTGGAACAAAATAAAACATTGAAACGAAAAAGTGTAGGTCGACCAAGGGAAAAGATTTGGGATTATTATATTGCAAGCAATGTTGTTGGTGACCGTAGTGCAACTTGTCATTATTGTTCAAAGTATTGGAGTTGTGGACGCCCTGGAGAAATGGAAGCCCATCTTGTGAATATCTGTCCTGATATTCCTATAGATATAAAAACATATTGGCAAGAATCGCTTTTAACCAAAATTGTTAATTATAAGCGAATGAAAAGTTCAGATCAAAAACAATTAAATCAATATAACTTGCCACAATATGAGCAAAATGAAATCGACAAAGCTATTTTAAAAGCTTGGGTCATGACAGGCTCTTCATTTAATATTATTAATAATCCATTTATGATTGATTTATTCAAGCATCTTAATTTGTCATATAATTTACCTAGTTGAATAACACTTTCTAATAGGTTATTAGAACAGGAAGTTGCAAGAATTAATTTTAAGATTGATGCTGAATTAAAAAAATGTAATTTTTTAACACTTGCTCTTGACGGATGGTCATCACCAACTGGAAATTCAATCTATAATTACATAGTTTCAACCACAGATCGGCATGAATATCTTATTGCACTTAAAGATTATTCAAAAATTTCACAAACAGGGATCTTTATTGCAAATGAAATCGAAAATATTATAATTAATATAGGAGTAAATAAATTTGCTGGAATCGTAACTGATGGAGGTAGTAATGTTAGAGTTGCACAACAAATAATTAATCAAAAATATCCACATATTTTAAACATTCGATGTGCAGCACATTCTTTAAATCTAATCGCTACAGATTTAGTAAAAATTAAACCTATTGGAAAGTTAATTTCTCAAAGTAATGAGATT